CGACCTGCTGGGCTCCAGCGATCCTTCCGCCTCGGCCTTCCAAGTAGCTGGAACTACAAGCGTGCGCTACCACGCCCGGCTAATTTTTTGATTTATTGTAGAGGAGGTCTCGCCAAGTTGCCTGGGCGGCTCAGGCAATCCTCTCGCCTCAGCCTCTCAAAGCACTGGGATTACAGGCTGAGCCACCAAGCCCGGCCAGTAAGATTTTTAAAAGAAGAAAATACAATATTTACAATGTATTATTGACCATAATTACCCTTCCTGTACTCCACCTCCTTTTCAAGGCAGGGTAGCTCCTCACATCAAGAGGTATAGCCCACCGGTATGGCTCACACCTGTGATCCCAGCACTTTGGGAGGCCGAGGTGAGAGGATGGCCTGAGTCCAGGGGTTCGAGATCAGCCTGGGCCACTTGGCAAAACCTCGTCTCTCCAATAAATCAAAAAATTAGCTGGGCCTGGTAGGGTGCACCTGTGGCTCCAGCTACTTGGAAGGCTGAGTAGAAGGATCGCCTGAACCCAGCAGGTCGAGGTTCTGGTGGCTGTGAGTGTGCCCGTGCACTCCAGCCCGGGCGATAGAGTGAGATTCCTACTCAAAACACAAAAGAGGTATAGCCCTTGAAACCTGAGCTGGCCTTGGGACTTGCTTGGACCAGCTGATACTTAACATTGTGCTTGGTCCAGACCTCAGTGTCAAGAGACCTTGAGCATTTTTGCTGTTTGACCACGCAGATGAAAGACGATCTGACCAGCTATAAGGTGGCCCCACACCAGCCTGTCCACGGTCAACCTGGCAGACACCTCAGGCCAGATGGCCAGCCTGCAGAACTGAAAGCTAAATCAACATTGGTGTTTAGGGCACCAAGCTTTGTGGTGGTTGGCTTTGCAGCAAAAACCACCTATCTCACAGCATGATGTTGCAGGTAAATACTTTGTTGGTGAAGGGCCTAACCCTCTTGAATTCAGGTCTCCCATAAGTTGGAGGCTTTGAAGGAGCCAGTTACTAATGGTCTGGAGGAAAGCTTTATTTTTTTTATTTTTTATTATTTTTGTGAGTCGGAGTCTCACTCTGTTGCCCAGGCTGGAGTGCAAGTAGCTGAAACTACAGGTGTGCATCACGATGCCAGGCTAATTGTTTTGTAGAGAGGAGGTCTCGCCAAGTTGCCTGGGCTGGTCTTGAATCCCTGGACTCAGGCAATCCTCTGACTTCTGCCTCCCAACATGCTGGAATTATAGGCGTGAGCCACCACACACCAGCTGGGGAGAAGTTTTAAAGATGGTTGTTGGGCCGGGTGCGGTGACTCAAGCCTGTAATCCCAGCACTTTGAGAGGCCAAGGTGAGGGGATTGCCTGAGTCCACAGGTTCGAGACCAGCCTGGGCAACTTGGGGAGACCTCATCTCTACAATAAATCAAAAATTAGCTGGGCGTGGTAGTGCGCGGCTGTAGTTTTGGCTACTTGAAAGCTGAGGCAGAAGGATCGCCTGAGCCCAACAGGTAGATGCTGGGGTGGTCGTGAGCATGCCACTGCACTCCAGCCTGGGCGACAGAGTGAGACTCCAATTCAAAAAAAAAAGATGGTTGTTACGGTCGGTGCTGCTGAAGGAGCCTCGGACCTCTTGGAGGTCAAACCAGCCTTACCAGGCTCAAGGTTTCAGCCTTACTGGTTCTTGGACATTAGAATCCAGTATGAAAGAGATGAGGTAAGTCAGAGAATGCAGGACTGAGGACTTCTGGTCTGATGGTGGTGGGGATATGTAGACAAGAAGGGGGACAGTGATCAAGCTGGCCCTCCAAGGAGCAGCCCGTGGACTTCCCCGAGCCTGTGGACTACAGGAGCCAGCCTACAGCAGCCAGAGGTCCACTGTGCTCTGCCTTGTGGGAGAGTCAGACGGACCAGGACTAATGCTAAGTGTGGAGATTCTTACTCAGTGTTGGATTTCGTGCCTTCTGGCATTCAAGACTAGCCTCACTTTTAATAAAAACAACAACAACAACACTATTTTGGTGCTGTAAACCTATTTTTCACCATCTGCCACACCCTTATGCTTCTTACGTTTCTTCTTCCGGGACAGCAAGAAAAACGTCATGAGACTAGAACCTCTCAACCAAGGAAGATATTCTAGTAGATTCCAAGGAACAAGGTACCTCTTTCTTCAGGTTGTGTCTGCTTAACTGAGAGCAACTGACTTCTAAAAAAACCTCCTTCTAAATATGTCAATAGAACAAAATAAAAGAAGTTTAGCTCGTGAAACATTAACAAAAAATGAAATTTTTTTTTTTGCATAACAGATGATGACAATCTTAAAATACCCGAAAGCCTAAAGAGGAAGCAACATCACCCCTTCTGTCTGAGAGAAACGGTGAAATGATGGCCCGAAGCTGTCCTCTGCAATTTCTTTGGGGAGGACACGAAAGGAATAGAAGGCACTGAGGGAACCAACAGGAAAATGTGCTTAATTAGTAAAATTAGATTCATTAATACAAATAATTCTCTTTGGAACAAGCTTTTAATAAATCTGTGGTAGCCGGGCTCAGTGGCTCAGCCTGTAATCCCGCGCCTTTGGGAGGCTGAGGTGAGTGGATTGCCTGAGCCCGCGGGTTTGAGACCCGCCTGGGCAGCGAGACCTCATCTCTACAATAAATCAAAAAATCAGCCGGGCGTGGTAGCGCGCACCTGTAATTCCGGCTACTCGGGAGGCTGAGGCGAAAGGATCGCTGGAGCCCTGCAGGCCGAGGCTGCGGTGGCCGGGAGCGGCCGCTGCACTCCAGTCTGGGCGACAGAGTGAGACTCCAACTCAAAATAATAATAATAATAATAATAAATCTGTGGTAATTGGGTGATCCTAAGAATTTTGTAGAGTGTGCCTGCGGGGGGCGTGCTTGTATGCGTTCATGTGTGGGCATGTGGGGGGGTGCATTACACAATTTTGGGGAGCCCTTTAAAAAAATGCAAAATGTGAATGCAAAATTCGGTAGGAAAGCAATGCTTATTTAGACTCAGCGAGGAGATACAGTTCATAACATTTTATTTTATTTTACTTTTTGAGTGAGTCTCTGTCGCCCAGGCTGGAGTGCAGTGGCACCATCATGACTCACCGCAGCCTTGACCTTCTGGGCTCAGGCGATCCTTCCACCTCAGCCTCCCAAGTAGTTGGGACTACAGGCGTGTGCCACCATGCCCAGCTAATTTTTGGACTTTTTGTAGAGACAAAGTCTCACTATGTTGCCCAGGTTGGTCTCGAACTCCTGGGCTTAAACAATCCTCCCATCTCAGCCTCCCAAAGTGCTGGGATTACGGTGTGAACCACTGCGCCCGACCAATTCATAACATTTTAAAAGCCAAGAAATACTTCAAATTTTGTTAACTGCCTGACAAACTTCAACAGAACCTTTTTCCCTATAATTTTTGGCTGCGTACTCTTTTTTTTTCTTTTCAGAGGCAGAATCTTTTATTTCAATTCTAAGGGAAGCCACCAGCCTGTTCGCCACATCTGGACACATAGGGAGAAAGCCTGGTCAAGAAGGCGCCGACAGAAGGGGCATGGCCACCATCAATTGCTTCCTCTTCCGATGGAAGACCGCCCTGGTCTCCTTGGAGTTGATCTGCAGGGGGATGTGGGCGTCCAGATGATACAGCTGCTGGGACCCCCCATCACCAGGCGGTGCTCCCCGATCTCCAGCGGACAGCCCCAGGGCTCCACCCAGTTTGGGGAGGTAAATTTCGGCTAAGAGGAGATCAGGAGCTTCCAGCCAAAGGTTTAGGTGAGGCTTCTCTGGGAGTCTGGCGTGTCCAGGTCCCCCAGCTCTTGGATCCGAGGACGCTGCTTGGAGCAGATGCTCTGCTGAGAGATAGAGCCCAGGAAAGGCCGGTTCTTCAACATGCGCCATTCTGGGTTCAACTGCAAGCTGTATTTGTCCTCAAGGCCCTCCCTGGCGATGGTGATCACGAGCCCCCGCAAGAAATCGCAGTTCTGCATCCTCCAGTAGAAGTCGCTGTTGACAGCTGCATCGTAGGCGGTACCACCCTGGCCTTTTGCATCCAGTTCGGCATGAGGCTCTCCCAGACTCATGGGGATGCGAAACCCGGCTTGGTCCTCCTCCAGCATCTGAAGCAGCTCGTCCTCGGTCACGTCAGCCGGAGGCAGGATGGAGGGAGAGTGACAGATGTTGATGAAAACCTTCCCTTCCGATGAGTTGGTCTTTATGCAGAAACCAGGCTGAGGCTGAATTTGTGTAGGTTCTGGTCTGGTTGTCTGAGCTTGCTGGAGCTCCTTGGAGGCCTGCAGCTGCAGCTCCTCGAATCGTGCCGTCTCGGCACCCACCGTCTCTGCCTCGCTTAGCTCCGGTGCCAGCAGCGTCGAGTTCGCCATGGCCCTGGGAAAGAGACCTAGGCGTCCTCAGCACCCTCGACGTGGAACTTTCTCCAGGATCCAAACTCTGGTGCTCGCTTCTGGCCCTCAACCGACTCCCGATACCCGCTATTCTGCTCTAAAACCTAAGATTCTGGCCTAAGACTACAATTCCATTCCAGACCAGACTCCGTCGTCAAATCCCTTGGGAATCAATATCTCTGGGTGCTCTCTCCTACCTACATGCTAAATGTGTAGATGAAAGCCACACTTCCGGTCCCTGCGTAACCATGACACTATGGGAGGCCACACTTCCCAGTTCCCCAAGGCTAATTTTCAAGCCGGAAGCCGGTTACCGACATGCCCCGCCTCTCGCTTCAGCCAGTCAAAAATAAACCCCGAAGTCGGGCTCGGTGGCTCAGCCTGTAATCCCGCGCCTTTGGGAGGCTGAGGTGAGTGGATTGCCTGAGCCCGCGGGTTCGAGACCCGCCTGGGCAA